CTATCTTTAGATACATACATACATACGTACATACAAACATACCAACATACATACATACATATACCTGTATATATATATATATGTATACACATACATATCTACATTGGGGTGGATACTTCACTGGACAAAAGTTGTTGGCAAGATGTCCTCCTGTACGGCGGGACTTCTTCAGGATCCCAGGTACCTATGCCGAAGGTTCCCGGGCAAAAACGAATATCAAGCATCCTGCCCCTGGCTTGTTGAGGGTTTAAGGTTTAGGGTTTAGGGTGCACCTTGTTTGTTGAGGGCTCAAAGCATCCAATATTTGGCCCTAAGGGTCCAAGTACCCATTATTTAAGGACTTTGGGGCCTTTTGGGGCCATAAATAAGGACTACTTGGACCCTCAGGGTGGGTAATAACCAGGTACCTGGGTCTGGGATCGTGCCGTTGCAGGTTGGCATTTTACGAATTCATCCTCCAGACCACCACCGGAGGACCCTTTAATAGAGGTCTCGTGGTCCTTGACAGCAGGTGTTTGACATGCAAACGGTAGTTGCGGTGGGAGTTTGCGATTTAGTTGTGCATGACGTGCTGGCATTGGGCAGGCTTGGCCGTGTTGGCATGGGTTGGACCGAGTTGGCGTTGGGTGGATGTTACTAAACCCCTAAACCCTAAATCCTAAACCCTAAACCCTAAACCCTAAACCCAAACCCCTAAACGTACCAGGGCATGTCAAGGCTCCGAGGGGCAAAGCGAAACCCTGAACTCGAGGTCTCCCCTCGCCTTGGAGCTCCCGGCTCAAAGCCGCATGCAGCACGAAAGAAAGCCGCAGCACCGCCTCTGCTGTCTTCGGATGGGTTTTAGGGTTTAGGGTTTAGGGTTAAGGGTTTAGAGTTTAGCGTTTAGAGTTTAGGGTTTAGAGTTTAGCGTTTAGAGTTTAGGGTTTAGAGTTTATCGTTTAGAGTTTAGGGTTTAGAGTTTAGGGTTTAGAGTTTCGGGGTTTTGTGCTTCAAGGACAGGAAAGTGTCAACCTGAGACTGTCAGCAATACTGTTCCCTTGTGGCTAATCCCCGCCAGAATCGGATAATGAACTCTGCAGAAAGCCTTATACGAAATACCACAGGGGCAGTACCACCGCAGCCACTACAGCTCTATGCCTCCTAGACCCCTATGCCCTCAAATGCGTAGTCCTATGCCCTCGGCCTTTTTTCTTACTGGTGCTTAAAGCAGACCTTTAAAATTTTAGGGATCCTATAGGGCCTGCTATAGGGATCCACTCTCCCACTCTCCCTTATAAGCACCGGCAAGGTCTCGCGTCCCTCTGCGATCCCTAGGCTCATGGAAGCTTCTTGAGACGTGTAAAAAGACTTCAGACGTGAATGTGCAGACTTCCGGTAGATAAAGGGGCCTTAATACGTAGAAGATAATGTTGGGTAATGTTGGTGTATATTACTAGTATTTTTTGAATCCTGTGGCATAACATAGGGAAAGCAATCCGGTCCCCCCAAAAGTATGGCCTTTGGTGTCTACTAAGCTCAAGACCTTCAATCAACTATATCCAACTCGAAAGGTTGAGCTCAGCGGCATTCCGCCATGCTGCGAAGAGCTTTGATGCCAAGAGCCTGCCGGCGGACGGCTTCTTAGGATTGGACTGCGCACCCAAAAGGTTCCTCTTTAGGGTTTAGGGCTTTGGGTTAAGGGTTTTTCTGTAGGGTTTAGGGCTTATATTAGAGTTTCGTGCTCATGACCCCATCATGAACGGTCTCTCTAAACTGGCCCTAAACCCTTCGAAAGTAAATATAGGCGCCGTAACAATTAGAATAGGGTTTTGGGGCCCATTATACTATAAATATATAAAGGTGCCCTCAAAATAGTAATGGCAATTCTCAAGGCCCCTACATTACCTCGAGGGTCCTGGTAAGCCCATGCAGTTCCCAGCCTGTTGCGCCATCGGTCGCCTTGCCAGTCGACAAGGCCCGTGAGCTGAGAGCTTGCAAGCTCCTCAGGGCTAGGGCTAAACCCTAAACCCTAAACCCTAAACCCTAAACCCTAAACCCTGTGGGTCCAGGATTTAGTGCCGGGGTTGAAGTTCCTGTGAAAAGGGCCTCCGGCTTCAGGCTGGAGCTGGAGCTTTAGAGGGTTTAGGAGTGGGGATGTTGAAGAGGAGAGCATTGGGTTTAGGGTTTAGGGTTTAGGGTTTAGGGTTTAGGGTTGGGTATAGGAGCTTTAGGTAAGGTTCTTCGGGGCTGTAGAATATGCAAGCTGGGTCACAGAACTCCCAAGCAGTAAGGTTCTGTCCACAGACTTTTCCACTTAGGATGTGTGCTGCTTGTGGTTCTAAAGACTGATAGAGCGTGCCACAGATATCTGATTTCGGGCCCCCTATGTATATATATATATATAAATAATATATATATATATATATACATTCATATCTATATCTATATCTATATCTATATCTATATATATATATATACATATATATATGGATGGCGTTGTGGGTCACGCAAACTGCAGAGAAAGAGCCTCCACGGCCGCGACACGGCCCTCTGCGGCGACATTTTGCAGGGCAGCAAAAGCTGCGCGCGCCATGCAGGCTTGGCCTGCGCGACTGATTTTGGGCCTTCGCGGCTTTAGATGATAGCTACCCAAAGGCCCCATAGTAGTTCCTTTTCGGGATTACCTTATAGGATTGAAAGAATATGAACCCCAAAAAGGAACTACTATGGGGCCTATGGGTAATAATACCTCTGCTACTGTTCTATTAGAGCTCCTGTTGTTGCTGTTGCTTCAAGCCTACGAACGCTGGTGCTATGTAGAAGCACCCAAGCCCCGCAGTCTCAACAGACAACCCCCCGGCATGTTTGCAGCTGTGTCTTGAACATCTTGGATACGCGGCCACGCGAGGATTTCCAATCTAGAGTCGTCTTTAAAGGCACACAGGGTGGAGAGCATGTGTGCTAAGCCGCAATTTGAGAAGTCAAGATCGGATGTCCCTAAACCCTAAACCCTAAACCCTAAACCGTATTGTCATAGCGTAAGACTAGGCTAGGCCGTCCTACAGGGCCCTGGCTGAACTCACCGATGTGATTAGGGTTTAGGGTTTAGGGTTTAGGGTTTAGGGGTTTAGGGTTTAGGGTTCTTCTTGCAACATAGGAACTACCCTGACGGCAGCCATTGGGGGGCCATGACAACTATATTTCAAAACTTTGTGAAAGAAGTCCTAAACCTAAACCCCTAAGCCCTCAACCCTAAACCATGGATGGGCCTCCAATCGCTTTGGCTGCCGCGATGCGGCGCCCGGAATGTAGCTGGGCTGCCTTTTGGAGGTCGGTCGCATTGTGAAGAAAGGATGCTCGGGGTGGTTTAGGGTTTCGGGCTTGGGGTTTAGAGTGTGATGGCTGTAGAACAGAGATCGTGGCGACGATAATGGTAGTTTCTATTGCTGCCGTCGCTGACATCCTCGATCTGGTCGTCGCCGTCGTCCATCGCTCAGCCCTAAACCCTATAAACTCCATTAAACCTCATTAACTCTCATTAATACCCAGTAAACCCCACTAACCCCCATTAAACCTCATTAAACCCCAGTAAACCCCACTAAACCCTGAAAAAATCCTACTAACCCTCTCAAAAACCTTTCGACCCCTAAGACATCTCAGCCCCGAGCCAGGAGGCGCCACGACGCGAAGAGCCTCCCGAGCTGGGCTTAGGGATTAGGGTTTAGGTTCCTATCATAGAAAGGAAACAAGAAAACGAAAACATCAACAGGAGGAGAACCCGAACAGAACCCCCACAAAGGAATCGTCAAACGAACCTTAAACACTCAAACAGAGTTCTTAAAGAAACCCTTGACCCCTGAGCTTTTCGTACGACCCGAAACCGATCAGGCCCTGTGAAGTCTCAGCATAATATTCAACCATCTCCCCTAAATCCTACAAGAAAGCCCTGAAGCCTGAAGCCAAACCATAAGCCTAGGAAACTGAGGTCGCCTTGCCCTCAGCCAGCGTGCAGCCTTTCGTGGGGCCCAGAGCGCCAGCAGCATTTGCTGGGGCCGACGGAGCCTTGCATGCTGGGGTTTATCACAGTTCAACTGCTTAGATGGTTCGTTCCGGATTTCTTTGACGGAGATGCAAGGGATCGGTCAGGGCTAAAGTAGAGTTTAACGTTTAAGGTTGAAGGGTTTGGGGGAGCTGTGCTCTTAAACTCTGGACGCCGCAGCGGACCCAAATTTAGGAAAACCTTGCGATCAAGTGGCGTTGTCCTCCAGGCCAGGAAGACCTGCACGGGAAGCTTGCGATCCGACGGTAGTTTGCTGTAGCTGTCGGATTGCATGCGATGGATTGTCACGGCTTCCGACATACTACATACCGCTCCCGGATCAGATTTCGGGGTGGAGCGGTCTCCCTCTCATCTCTCGCATCACTTCCAGAGGTGAGCTTCTTTGCTGCTCTTTTGGTTCGTGAACCAACCCTGAACATCCAGCCGAAAGCTCAAAGCGCAGACTAGACTGTGTCTGTAAGTCTCTGGCCGAGGACCCGAAAATTCTAGTTCTGTAGAACAGGCTGGGACAACGAAAACGACCAAGCCACCTATCGAGATTGACGCGCTACATCCGAAATCCGAACGGTCTCGAATCCAAAACCCTATACATCCCAAGAATACCGAGGCAACAGTCAGCGGGTCCCAGCTTCCAACGTCTGGTTGAAGCGGAACGATCCAACAACCTATATATAAATGAATAAATATAAATATAAATAAATATATATATATATATATATATATTTATATATATAAGTGAACTTACCTCTAAGAGGTACAACAGATGGAGACCGAATCGTAGAAACGACGATGGCGCTACCACTCTGAATCCTGAAGACATTCCGTAAGCTGTAATGATCAACATCGTCGAAGCTTTGCATTTCAGGAAAGGAGATTTGGATAGTCACTAGTCACCAGTCCACCCGAAAGCTTCAAGCTAAACTGATTCCTAAACCCGAACCGCCCAGAACGGCGGCCCCACCTGTGCGCGAAGCGCACGGGAACCCTGTGCAGCAAGAACTTGAGCTGCGCTGCAGCCACGAGCCTTGTCACTGAAAAAAAGAAAGGATAAGGTGGCGGCTAATGCAAACCCTGAAACCGCCACCCCAGACGCGAAACCCTAAACTCCTACACCCTCGAAACCTAGACTGGGTCAAACTTGAAACTTAGGCCCCACAACCTGAACCGGAAATCATCTTCCCGAACCTGTACCAAACCCTGTAGAATCCTGAAAAACACATCCGATTGAATCCTACTACAATCTTTATAGAGTTTAGAAGCCTCGTAGAACTCTTCTCGAACTAGACAAACCCCATTCGCCTTGACGTCTCCTTGGCTCTGAACTTTCTCTCGATCGTTTACGGCCCGACGCACGAGAGCGCACTGCTCGCGCCAGCGGAAGATGACCTTCACATGATTCAGGGTGTAGGGGGTTTAGGGTTTGGGTTGAGGGTTTAGGGTGCTTCTGGTGCCAATGAGTCAGGATGAGATCAGGTGACATAAATTTAGGTGGCGGACATTTGGACTTCGTGACATGCGCATCATGCTGTAGCTATGTAGGGGCTGACCGGGCCGGCTTCTTCATGCTTCCATATTTGGCTGCTCCATAGGTGAATCGCTTCGAGCAACCAAACGCTCAAAGTGCCTTCCGTTGCTGCTTACTATAGGGGCCTAAATAATTACTTATACTATTTTCGGGGTTCCTTATCGTATAATATACCACAAAACCCTATTCTAATTACTAACGCGCCTACATTAGTTAGTAATGTCGGCTTTATCGAGTCTGATTCTGGCCTCCTGGGACTTCAGGGGGCGTAGAATGCCAGCTGGGGTTTGGAGGCGGGCAAGCACTCCTTGCGCTGCCCAGTTCAGGCTTAATAATTAGAATACGGTTTCGGGGTATAGTATAGTATAGTATACTATATTTATATTAAGGAACCTCCAAAATAGTATAGGTAATTAATTAGGCTTCTATATTAAACTGACTCCTAAACCCGAACCGTCGCCCAAAAACCTTCAAGACAGTTGTTCTGACCCCATAGAATTTAGTGATCGGGTCAAGCCCCTAAACAAGAGGATTTTGGATGCACAGACAGCGCTTATGCGCCACAAAGCTAGGACCTAAGTACCACGACTAAAAATCCCTAAACCCTGAAGCGCTAAACCCCTGAAGCTTAAACCCTATGCCGACCCAATAAGCCCTACACCCCAAAACCCCAATACCTAAAGCCATATAAACCCAAAACCCCCAACACCCCCAAAACCCCCTGAACCCCGAAGCCCCCAAGGTCTAAACTCTGCAAACCCTAGATAAACTCCTAAAACCTAAACCCGGTAGACCCTAAACGTCCTGAGCCGGTCACTTCTGCAGGGCCCCTGCCTGGCCCAGGAGCAACGCCGTCGACGCGGCACTTAGGGCAGCCGCCCCGCGCTCTGCTGCTTTGCGGCCACAGGATGCCTTCCTTGCGGCATTGTAGGATTTAGGGTTTATAGGGTGCACTACAAGTACTGACGAGATTAGGTGTACATACGTTTAGGATCTGTTTAATATCTAACCCTGAACAGTTGTTTGGAGGTTGTAAGAGACTTGCACCATATCTGTCGACCTATCTATCTGCCTGTGTGCACATAAGTACACACAAGGATACATGCATACATGCAGGCCAATCACAGACAATATAATGTAAACATGCATACACAGTCCTGAACGACTATCCAGTGTATGCGCTGCTCCTGAATAGTGGTAGCCAATTTGTAGCACTACGAGGGAAAAATCAATGCGAACATGACTCCTGGACCTTTTCTAGAGGAACATGACACAGGTATGTATATAGTGTATACAAAGACACAACCTAATTTCTGCTCGTATGCACTAGGTATGTATGTAAGTGCGTTATAATAAGTAAGTAAGTATGTATGTAAGTAAGTAAGTAAGTAAGTAAGAAAGTAAGTAAGTGAGTAAGTGAGTAAGTACTTCTCCATGTATGTATGTATGTATGTATGTATGTATGTATGTATGTATGTATGTATGCAAGTATGTATGTATGTTTGTATGTATGTATGTATGCATGTCTATACGTACGTATGAATGTCTGTCTGTCTGCCTCCCCGCCTGCCTGCCTGCCTGCCTGCCTGCCTGCCTGCCTGCCTGCCTGCCTGGCTGTCTGTCGGTCTGTCTGTCTGTCTGTCTGTCTGTCTGTCTGTCTGTCTGTCTGTCTGTCTGTCTGTCTGTCCTTCTGCATGCCTGTATGCATGTACATGAATACATGTACGTAGGTGTGTTTTTGGTTGCGTGCACGGATGCATGCATGCGTGAATGTATGTATGTACGCGTGTGCTTGCCAGGCTAGACTGCGTCTCGTTGTCGTGCACCAATGTACCTAGCTTTGTCATTTTGCCTCAGTTGCATCTGGCTGCCTGGTAGTATGCACATCAAATCATCCATCTTTCTACCTATCCAAAACTCTGTTTGTCCATCGTCTACCTGTAAATCTGTGATATCTGTCTATCTCACACTTTGTCCATGTAGGTATGCAAACATGTGTATAGATACGTACCTGAAGTGTCCACCGTCCGAATTTGTAGGCTAGACAGGTATCCGTGGTCAACAAACAGACCACACATGAAGCTGTGAACAGACACACATACAAGTATAATTACGTGTACATACACATAAAAACGTCTGTTGAGACGTCCGCCGGAAATGCACACCCACCCTCGATGGTCCGGACATGTGCCCACGGTTCCGCTCACCACTTCTGCATACCTTCTTCCTGCGTGCTCAGGACACAGCAGTCGTGCCGACACATGGAAACAAAATATACAGGGCCTTGAACAAGTTCAATAGAGCTTTGGCGCATATCGCAATATACCTGTCCCTACATACACCGATTATTTATTCATTTGACGCTGGGGTTCCCAGCTTTATCCATGACATCTCTTCAAATGACAGCCGGGCTTCGCCCAAGCCAACATAGCCGATTGCAGCAGTGCTGGACACTCTCCGAGGCCTGCTGGTCTCCGGTAATTCAGATCAAACCCTAAGGGTCCATGTACCCAAATAGTATATACTTTGGCCTTAAAGCAGTCCCTATATAGGTACTTTGGGGCCAAAGTATATACTATTTGGGTACATGGACCCTTAGGGAAACAGTTGGAGGTGTTGTCACGTAGGATCCAAACTTCGGGCAGGGGTATTCCCTTATGGCAGTCCCTGCAATCCATCCCCCCATTTCCCTACTAAAAATTTTAGGGAGACCATTCAGGTTTCGAGGGTTTAGGGGGTGCAGGGGGTTTGGGGTTTTGGGGCTTAGGGTTCAAAGTCTCTCTTTTTACGGGTGGGATTTGGGCTCTAGGATATCAGGCCCTAGGGCTCTAGGGCACGTGGTCTTGAATTTTGGAGTCAGGGCTTAAGGACAGTTTCTGGCCGTGGGACCTACTTGTCTATGGGAATTCTTCGTAATTCGTAATTTGCCTACAGAAATGAACGTACCATAACATATACATATGTGAGCTGTAGGCAGCCAGAAAGCCAACTGGAAACAGTTTAGATACTCTCACTTCTGAAAGCCAGCCAGCAACCAACATCACACACCCAAACTCGCTCTGAGGACTCTGAATCCGGAATCAAGCAGAAACGGAACCGCACACCTGGAAATGCTGAGAGGCTTAGGGTCCAGGGTGAGGGTGTGCTGGTTTGCGGTTTTGCAATTTTTGGAGTTTAAAATTTAATCTTTAGGATTTAGGCTTTCCGGAATTTCTAGAAACCCTTATAGAGACGCTAAACACTTTAAACTTGAAACCTAAGCCTCACACCCAAGACAGTCGATCCCAGCAGTTCAAAGACCGTATGAGCTTATACGGCGAAACCCTGAACCCTAAAGCCGCAGTAGGGTTTAGCGTTTAGGGTTTATGGTTGGCCCTATAAACCCAAAGCCAAAACCCAAAACCCTCAATGCCAATGTATCCTCTCAGATGCAAAGGAAGGCTTAAAGAACCTCCAAAGTAAAGAACCCAAAGCCTATAAATCCTCAAGGACCCCTTATACAGCCCCCTTCCAGACCGAAAGAAACCAAACCTCTAAAACCCTCAAAGCACCTCCCCTAAAATACCCTCAACCCTAAACCCTAAACCCTTTAGGGTTTCATAAAAGCCCGCCGTGAACCCCAAAGCCCAGAAACCCTGTAAGCCATGCCCGAAAACCTAAACCCAAAACAGGCGGTTTAGGGTTTAGGGTTTAGGGTTTAGGGTTTAGGGTTGAAGCCCTAAACCCCCAGAAAACGCACCTCGCCGGTCTAAGAGACGCAGGCTCCGATCTCGGAGATCGGCGACGCAAGCTTGGCGATCCTGCGGAAGTTTATGGGACTGTAGGCTTCAAGGTTTATAGCTTAGGGTTCAGGGTTTCGGGTTTAGGGGTTCATTGCTTAGCGTTTGGGGCCTTCAGGTACTACGCTGGTTAGGGGTTGATGGTTCAGGGTTTCAGGGTTTCCAAAATCTTCCTTAGACCCTTAGAGGTACCTTTTCTTGGGTTACCTCAGCTGCTTATTTCTAGGATCCTAACCCTAAAATAGGTCATCCAAAAAAGGAAACCCTAAACCCTAAACCCTAAACCCTAAACCCTAAACTCTAAACCATTTAAGGGTCTAGGTAGGGTTCAGCTAAGGTCTCAGGCTGAGGGCTTCAGGTTGCCAGTTGCAGGCTTGAAGTTTGCAGTCTAAGGTTTAGGGCTCAGGGTATACTTCCTCCTAAACCCTAGCTGAGTTATAGGTTTAGGGTTTAGGGTTTAGGGTTTAGGGTTTAGGTTTTGGTAGAAATCCTCCATAACCCTATAGACCCTAAACCCTGAAGCCCTAAATATCCCTGAACCAGACCCTGGCGTCCTGGATAAGCCGCCACTTCTGTACCGAGGTGCTTGCCCTGTGCCACTCTGAGAATACCGCAGCGACCTTGAGGCAGTTTAGGGTTTGGGGTTTAGTATAGGGGGTTAGGGTTTAGAGTTTTGGAGGTTAGGGTTTAGGGTTTAGTTTTTAGGCAGAAGAGATTATGGATGCGCACATGATTATTATAATCGGGTCTGGGCTGTTTTATAGCATGATTCTACGGGTACTATAAAATATAACAAAATTCTAAGACGAATCATTCAGACCGTCACAATCTTATCGGCTTTAACGGTCTTGGGGCTTGGGGTTTCGGAATGGTTACAGTAGGGCTTGTTGTAGAGAGTAACAAAGTACGGAAGGGTGCAGGGGCCACAGACACAGACGTCTTGATGCAGGTCCTGTAGTGGCTCTTGCAGGGTGTTCAAGTCCATGGTATAACCCTAAACCCTAAACCCTAAACCAGGTCCAAAGTTACGGGACCCAAAACCCTCCCCAACTCGGTCCGCATCTTCAGCAATAATCACGAAG